TAGGAAAAGATTGACTAGAAATCAAACTCAGGAACCGTTTCAAGTGTAATTCATGTTTCATTTCCTTGAATAAATCATACAGATGTCTGCAAATTTAGGGTTAGGAAGCACAGAACGAAGTTCTAGTTGGGAGGCCAAGTTCTTTTTACAGAGGTAGAAATAGATACTAACTTGGTTTGGAAATTCTGTCATCCTTGTAAATGTGACATACACAAATGCTGAGAACAGTTACGGTGGAAGAGCACAGGCAGTAGGAATAATAAACGCGCGTCATGAATTTTAATTGGGACATAACTGATAGTAGGATCCTTCAGTTGTGCAGCGTGTCAGAAGCTTGCAGCCAGAAGGAAGGATGGAATGCAAAGCCAAAGGGCGCGTGGTTCCCGACTCTGGCAGGAGCCGGTATTAGCGTGACCTTTTCGTCCAAACCCTTCTCATCTCTATTTCACCAGGTCATTCCTTCCCTTGCTGTGAATCATCCCTGAGAATCTGTAACAAGCACATCATTGTCAAGAAGTTAAAAGCAATGATAAGTTGTTCTGCTAACACCTGTCAGTGAAATAGCTCAGAGCACAAAACCCAGGCATTTAAGGAGTTGACAAGTATTATTAAACCTGTTTTGCAAGAGAAGAAGCTGGTTCAAAGAGGGAAAGGCTGTCAAAGGTAATGCAGTCAGTAAGTGGCTCAGGCCTCCTGCCTCGCACAGCTGGGCTCGAACCCGGGGCCTCTCGAGCCCTTGCGGGCGTCTCCTTCTGTCCAACTTTAAACTGCTGTGACCGTTTTAAAACTACAAATATGCCTTAAATTCAAGTATATTTCTTATGACTGGTTTTCCCTGGGTTTTCTCCCTCACTCAGAAACGTACACAATCTGAAATTTGTAAATGGTGACAACAGTGTACTTCTACTGCTTGCTTGCTTTTCTCCCTGGAGCACTTTAATCTGTCTATGTTTGGCACCTTGCTAAATAAACCTCATGTTTGAATTTAGGCGAATCATAGTAATGCTCTCATCCAGGGGATGGTGCTTGGTACAGGTCCTTCCTTGAACCTGACCCTAATTTCATGATTTCATTAAAGAAAAAAATATAGGAAAAGCCTAATTTAAAGTAAATTAGGATTTATAATTGGGAAATGTTTCTGCCTGTTTGTAACTAACTTTCTAGTTGCTCTCCACTCAGCTTTCCACTCTCCATTTACTTTTATTTTAAAAAAATGAGGAATAAACTGTCTTAGTGTGGGTTCAACAGAGCACAGAGCATAAGACAAAGGCTTAAGTACACATCCTCCTTTCAGGACTCTGATCCAGGGAGCACGGGCAAGGGACAGGGAAAGGGAAGCAGAAGAGTGGGAAGAGCCTGTACAGAGATGCTCAACATGTTCAAGTTGGCCACCCTTGTGGGCAACTAGTTGCTCAATCCTGCAGGACAGCTTAAAGAGCCCAGCAAAGAAACAGAAACCCGGCAGTGGAAAGAGCAGCACTGGGCAAGGCGCTGTTAGGTTGCACCTGCAAGAAGCCAGCTGGAGCCCACGAAGAACTGGTGGCTGGAAAAAAGACGCAGGGAGGACAGATGACTCTGAAGTACTAACAAGTGGTCTACCCTTGTGGCATATACTTCCGTGCATAAGTATAGAAAGTAAAGCATGAACTTTTGCTCCCTACCCCCCCTTCTCATGGATACTTGTCATTAACATTTCATTGTCTATGCATTTACAAGCTATCTGAGACCATACACATTTATCTTTTTCCTTTTAAAAAACATGCATCGGCTCATACTAATCTCCTTGTTCTGTGACTTTTTTTCAACTCGTGTTATTTGCATCGTGGTTAGGTTTTACCTCATTGCCAGCAAGTTGATTTTGCCCTATAGGAGGTACAGTGCAAAACACGTGACATTTTTGACGTTCATGCAGTAATGAAGGAATGATAGCATGAGTTCTAGCTAGAGTTCTTGCTTATAGAAGAGGAATGCTGCTCACATTGGGAACGCAGTGGGCACAGACTGGTAAAGCATGGATTGTCATTGCCAGACAACTGAACAGTCATCCCTGCCAGGCTCCTCCTCCTCCCCATTCATCAGCACCTCCAGAGTCTCAACGCAGAAGTAAGAATGGAGACCACACAAAGGAGACAGGGAAAAGAGATGTAGGGGAGGAAAATAATTGTCCCTCTACCCTTCTGAGTTCTTTGACCAAGACCCCTGTAATAAAAGACAGATTAACAATAGAAAAACAAACAGAAGGTTATTAACAAGTATCCCTCAGGTATACATGGGAGAAACCCAGGAAAAAATGAGTTCAAATTCAGGATTAAATAGCATTTTAATAGGGAAAGGGAGGGGATAGGCCTGTTAGGCCTTCTCCTTGGAAGGGATGGGAGGTGTGATAGTTTGTGACAGTTGTTTTGGGTGTGGTGTTGACTTCTTTTCTCCTGTGACAGGAGTCAATCTTCCCTAGTGGATAACACTCCCAGGGAGGGGGTTTATGGGAATCAGATTCCTTTTGGAGGATCATCTTCGGGCAGAGAAGGAAAGTTCAGAGAAAGCCTCTCCCTGCATCAATTTGGAAGCTGCATGTTTTGGGGTGGCATGTCCTGAACTCCCACAGTCATATTTTGGGGTGGCATATTCTACTACCCTTGAGAGATGAGAGGAGACACAAAGATTTGTTCAGTCAGCATATATGTTAACCCCATACTAAGTGACAGGCACTAGAGATAAAATAGGGAACACTACAGACTTGGTCCCTGTCCGCAGGCCGGGAAAGTCTATAACTGAGGGAAGGAAGAGATAAGAGTAGGGTAAAGATGCAGAAGAAAAAAAAATAGAATTCCAAAGGAATGAGGAATTTCAGGAATGGCTAAATCAGTACAGTGCTTGTGTTAATATACGTTGTTTAAATCCCAGCCATCTGCTCCCACGTCAAACACATACGCGCCGTACCCATGTATTGCACTCCTCTCCCACGTCCATATACATCCCAATAACAACATGGTGATATGTTTTTCATCGTTTCCCACAGTTGATAAAAAATACACGATTCAAACCAGTGGATTGTGACCCAGATCTAAGTATAAATATAGTGGAAGTCATACGTTTCTTTAGTGACAGTCTTGCTAATTAAATTATTTGGCCTGTTTTTAGCCACACTGGATAGTTCTTTTTAAAGTTGTTATGAATGTTGTTTATAGCAGCATCAATAAGCCAAGAACTCACGTAGTTACTCAATCACACAGATTACTCCTCATTGCCTGTTCATAACAGAATCCTAAAATGTTTAAGATTTCTGATGCAAATCAAAATCTCATCATCGCTTGTCATTGCTAAATTAAGTGACAGGATAATAACATTACATTAAAACCATTTTTCTCTTGATTGAGTACCTTTTTCAGAAGTGAACCTTGTAGATGTATATTTTTTTCATCAGTACTATAAATGCATTTAAAATCTGAGATTAAAAATAGTATTGAAAAGGGGAGGAGTGGAGTGGGATGTTTTCAAATTATTGATGAATCTCTTGAATCCCAAATAACCATATTTGACAGTGCAGTGCTAGGGAATGGAGTTGTTTAGCTCACTTTATTGAGACTTTTAGAAGTACATAAAGGAGGTTCACAGGTCAAACTTGGTCTTTATTGACACAATCATATGTTCTTGTCAACAGTCATATGGCATCCCATTGCCAACAGGCTGTTAGTGACCTGCAGGAAGTGGCATTGTTCTGTTACTCTAATATGATAAGATACTGGTTTCAGATACATCACAACCTATGTGGGAAATAAATATAAGTTTCTAATCTGCTAAAACAGAGTAGGTTTTCAGTCGACTTACCATGGTGAACTTCTCTCTTGGCCTTTCTTTCTTGCCTAAAGCTAGTTAACCTTTTTGATCACACATATCACCTCTCCGTCTGCTCCATCTGGCCCTTGGCCCACTTCTTTGTGGGCCAGTCAACCAGTCCTCATGCCTCTGAGCCCATCTTCTTCACTTGCCCTTCCACCCAGAACTCCTTTTCCGTTTTCAAGTCTTCTGTCCTTCAAAGACTTTGTTTTCTCACCCCTTCCACCTTTAACATTATGAAAATCATATACTAGCGTAAACCTTTTACTTTTTCCTCACTTAATACTATCCTCATTAGGCAGTAACATGTCAGTAATAACCTATCAGTAAAAATCCTTAGCTCTTGGAAAAGTGGATGAAGGTATAGACTAAAACAGCATTGGCTATAAGTTGACTATAGTTGAATCTGGGCAATAGGTATAAGGGAAATCAGTGTACTATTTTCTCTAGTTTTATGTGCTTGGATTTTTCTATAGTAAAAATTTTAAACTAAACTTGGCTCTTTGGAATTCATTTTTTTAAAATAGATGCTCTTTTTGAGTCAGTGCCTGAAATGGGTAATATACAGGGTGGATTAGGACCAAAACCTTAACCTGCCACCCAAATATCCCACTCCCACCTCACCCTCAGGAAACAAATAAGATTCTTTAATGCCTGGAATTGCAACTTCTCTCTTCTCCTGAGGTCCTGAGCATGATTACCGGAATCCTGGTACCCTTCCTGCTTCTTATTAAAGCCGCCAGATAAACCAGGACAGAAACACACACTAGCTTGGTCCCATTTATTGAGTCCGGCTATGAATAAAGCTCTGTCCTGAGCATTGAGGAAGAATATGAAGCTCCTTCTCTCTGAGAGGTCCCAAGATGGGAAACAGACACCATGAGCAACGCTGATGCATACAGACACTGGGAGCTGTCCTCTGAAGCAGAGCTAGGGTAGCATGGGGCAGTGGGGAGAGGAATCCTGTCAAGCAGATGCATTCTCGAAAGTGATGCAAACTCCTGAATGTTGTCTGGAAGGGGAAGGTCCTCTCCCCTGCTTCTGCTTGCAATCCTGATTGCATACAGCTCCATCCGATAACCTTCTCTCCCTTCCCAAGAACTTAAAAATTGATTGCAGCTACCAATGTGCTTTTTTTCCCTTCTCTTTTAAAATTATGACAGTCTTACTCCCCGTTTGCCAAAAACCGGAGAAACCATCCATGGACATAAGTTTTTTATTGGCTTTGGAGGGAAAGGTGCCAACCAGTGCGTCCAAGCTGCTAGGCTCGGCGCGAAGACGGCCCTGGTGTGCAAGGTGAGTGTGAAGTCCAGTGGAGAGTGCTCTAAAAGTAAGAATGTGGTTTTAAGTCTTGAGTTCACTGTTGTGTGTGTGTGTTTTAACTATTTTAAAGTGAACAATTCGGTAGCATTTAGTACAATCACAGTGTTGTACAGCCACCATTTCTGTCTAGTTCCAGAACATTTCCATCATTCCAAAATAAAACTCCTTACATTAAGCAGTCTCTCCCCATTTCCCCCTCCCCTTAGCCCCTGGCAACCACCGATCTACATCCTGTCTCTATGGATTTATCTATTTCTGAAGATTTCCTATAAATGGAATCATGTGAAACGTGACATTTTATGTCTGGCTTCTTTCACTTAGCACAGTGTTTTTAAGGTCATCTACCTTATAGCACATATCAGTACTTCATTCCTCTGTGGCTGCATAGTATTCCATTGTATATGCCACATTTGTTTACCCACGTATCTGTTGGACAATGGGGCTGTTTCCACCTTTTGGCTCCTGTGAACAGTGCTGCTCTAAACATGCAGGTACATGTACTTGTTTGAATACCTACTTAATTCTTTTACAAGCTCATTGGTTTTAAAGATTTAAATAGTGTTTTTTTATATTAGTTTCTATCTCACTGGATCCTCTGGAAAGTAGCAGTCCTCAAATAACTTAACGCTGTGTTCCCTGAATTGAATGAGTTTATAACTAGAGTATGAGAAGCGGGGAGAATTACTCCACTCCTATGGGTTTACCTAGACCAGCTTCTAAACAGCAGCATGAGTCATCCTGTTTTTAGCAGGTTTTACTGCAGCAACACAGCTTCTGGAAACTTGGTTTAATAACTGGTGATTTACTCATCTCTGAGTTATTTTCCTCTAATGCTATATCTTGGAACACAAAGGGATCTGGGCCTTACTGAATTGCACATCACTGATCCTTAGGCATAGTTTCGTTTTCAGAAAGAAACGTGAAGTACAGTATTCCTATCTCCACCCATCTACTGAAATGATCTGAAAAGTATATCAAAATTGGCTGCCAAAGGTTCAACTTTTGCATCTTCGATGAAATTTTAAGATACTATCGTTACTGGTCTAACAGGAAAGATAATTTATTTTAGGAAAGCTAGACTGGGTCTGCACAGTAGAGGATATGAAAAATATGAGGAATTTAAAAGAATGAGCTCTCTGCTGTGAACTGGGTAGATTTTACCAAAATTTCTCTGAAATGTCACTTCCCATTGCACACAGCACTCTGTTCTCCCTGGGGTCTTTAAATGATGCATAAACTATCCAATTACCACTTCTTCTACTAATGAACTGTAGCTTTATTTCTAATTTATGATTAACATGACATAATTCTCATCTGGCTATTTGGTCAAAAACATCTCATGAAGCACAAGATTCAGAGTAAGAAACTCTCATTTGCTAAGGTTGAGCTCTTGATAGATTTAAAATATCAATCAATTAATCAGCAATTAATTATTGACGACCTATTATATGCTAGGAATTATGTGGCTTGGAGAGGGAGCCGATTAAAAATGTTAGGCCTGATCCATCCTATACTTGATTAGAAATGAAGGGTTTGGGGAGTAATCAGATGATGCTGACTTAAGGTGGCTTGGAATTGGAAACTGGAAAGAGTATATCATTTCCTGGCTGGGAAAACGTGGACAGAGAATTGGTATTGGAATCAAGGTACCGAGAATGGTCATGGGGAAAGGGGAGTTCCCTAGAGCTGAGCTGTTAAAGGAGAGATTAGAGAACGCCCTCTTGGAAGTTTTATAAAAGCTATTCATTTAGCCATTAAAGTCAAAATTGGATGTCCCCTAGGACCTCATCCAACTCGAGGGTTTTGAGATTGGTTTTATTTTAGGTCTGCTGAATTTGAGGCAAAGAGAGCAATGCAAAATAGGAATATTTGAATTGTGGAACTGACCTTGGGAAATGAAGCATGAAACCATAGGAGTGGATATGAGGGGAACAGAAGGCAGAGGGCGATATTTGAGGAAATGTAACAGTTAGGAGGCTGATTAAAGCAAAGGTGCTATTTATTTTAGCACCTCTGGCCTGTGTAAGATGGTTTATGTTAGTACCTGTCCAATTTTGAAAGTTCTTTATATCTAATGAGCCCCTGATTTAGTCATCTGGCGTTTAGCCCCACAGTGGAATTTACCTGGGGATCTGTACAGAGAAGGTGAGAAAAAATGGCTTCAGCTAAAACCTATACAGGGTTACTTTGCTTAGATAATCTGGGACATTTAGACGTGGATTTATTTAAGATTAAACAAATTGCATAATATTCTTAGACTTCTTAACAAGAAAAATAAAATACTATTTTCTAGTGGAAGTCATTGTTATCCATTAATTATTATATTTCTTCCCATTGTGAAATATATTTTTATTAAGCAAATTAGCCAAACTGTTTTATGGCAGCTTTTTAAAGATGACAAATTCTAAGTAGAAACAAAGATCATGAAATTACTCAAGATAAAATTGAACAGATGGAGCAAAAGAAAAACAGAAAATTTCCTATGGTTTTCTTAGCAACATTAACTTACCTATTACTGCCCCGCAACAAACTAATATTCAAACTCCAATAAAGTAAGACAGTTTGATGACACCTGCAGAACACCTTATATTGCGCTAAGGAGAAGTATTTGTCAAGATACTGTGGCAAGGACTGTGAAGCAGGAGTCCATTAATATGTGTATGGTGAAATAAGTACAATGAAACGCTTCACATAGATAAGAGTTGTGTAGTCAGTATTTAACTGAGTCATGGGCCAAGGCCACAGTCCAAGGGTAATTGGAGATATTCTGAGAATAAAAACCAAGGCAGATCTAGAAAATGAAAGTCGTCTTGGCAGGGCAAAGAGCCTGTTAGGACACCTTTCCTAGGACTTCGCCCGATTTAAGTGTTTCCTCCTCCTGAAGTCAAATGTTAGAGAGGAGGAAGGTGTTTCTAAACGTCAAAAACTGGCAGCTCAGGAGGACCGTGGTAGAATCAAGAGCTCGAGGTGCAGTGGCCCAGCACGAGCCCAGGGACCCTGCTTCCTGGGCAGGTGGAAGGAGCCAAGAGCAGGCATGGACCCAAGTGACCCAGATCGGAAGTCAGCAAGCGGAGACTAGACTTTAAGGAAGATTATTTAGGCAAACGATATAAGATGGTATTCAGTTCAGTGCTTAATTATATAGTATCCATTAGGAATGCCATAAGACTTCTGGAATAAAAGAGTCACAGGGATAAGTAGGAAAGGTAGGCCTGAAGCGGATGCTTGAAAAGCAGGTGGGGTTTGATTAAGTGGAGGAGAGAGGAAAGGACTTCTGAGTTCTCATAAGTGAAGGCCAGGAAATAGACATGACTAGATTGTACTCACATAGTGTTTCAACACAGTCTAATGACCACTCTGAAAAACATAAACCCAACTATTTTTGCCAAATACGAGTTTTAGAAGGATAGAGGCAAAAGCAGCAAAGGGAGGCAAGCCTGGGCACGTCAAAATGGGACTAGAGTCAGCAAGCACAAGCCAAAAAAATCTTTCGGGCTTCCCAGTACCTTGATTCCAACTTTGTGGATGAGCTCCTTGCCCCCAGCAGGTTCTGCAGGTCTCACTTCTCCGTGCTCCCACTCAGCTGCCTCCCCAACCGAGTCCTAGGCAGGCCTGTGCTCTCCCTCCTCACTGCTTCCGTACAAACCTTCCAGACACTCTCCCCACTTCAGTCCTGCAACCAGTGGGCCTCGACTGCAGGCCGCACACGGCAATCACCTGGGAGCGGGCGCGGTCCCACCTGCCGAGGATCTGCTCCATCGGCCTGGGATGCAGCCGGAGCACCGGGATGTTCACAAGCTGCTCCGGAGACACTGGGGAGAGGCTGAGGCTGGGAACTGCTGTGTCCTGACGCCAGAGGTAACCACACCAGTCCCACCCTGCGGCCTGGCTCAGATGGAAGAATTTGCCACAAAAATGAAGTAAAGAATCTTAATTAGCTTGATAACAGCAGAATTGAAATTAGATTCCAAGTCTCCTGGCTCCAAGGTGCACCATTTTACCTCATGACCTAGATACTTGAGTTAAAGTTTTCATATCATTTGATAGCCAGCGTGTGGCCAGGAAAATAGGGAAGCCTCCAGAGATACCTGTGACGGTTCCTGTGTAATAGTCCTGATGGTGCCCAGGCCTTTCACCTGTATCATTCGCTGTGATTTTCGAGACACTTGCACTCACTCTCAGTGGCAGGCTGTGAATGACACCTTCGCTTGGGTTCTGCTCCTTGACTTCCAGTTATCAATTTCCGTTTACTGGGGAAGCGGCTTAAATCTGAGTCAGAAGTAAGCAAATGGGATTGGAAGGTGTCCACTCTTGCAGCCTTTTTAAAAATAAATCCAGGAGAATACATGATTGTATCAGAGGAAGTAGGGGAGATGGCATTCTTATAGTATAACGTTGCACGTGTCATCGGCACAACTCTAATGCAGAAAGAAAAAGAGGATCCTTTTAAGTAGGATTCAGATCTCCATTGCTTTTTGTCTACATTTTGATGTGATTTAGATCTACTTAAAGCTTAAATATTGCTCCCAAGGCAGAGATGCCCTCCCTGTTGGCTATATTACTCTCATTAAAGTAACAGGATACATGATTATAGTGAACAGCATTCGTTACACCAAACCATTAACAGATGTTATGTTTTTATTAGAACGATAGCACAGGCTCATTTTGAAAATAATTTAATGTGCCCACGTGCTTGCTTCCATGATCAAATGCTCTCCTATTTGAAAATAAGAAGCAACAGGAAGGATTGAAGAACAGGGAGAGCCCGATGGGCATGAAAGTGGTTTATATTGAATCCAAGCAGCAGGAGCCTTGCCCTTCCCCCAAGAGAAGCAGCCTGATGATGATGATGACGACGATGATGATGATGGTGATGGCACCAAACCCTCACTTAATCCTTTACAGCTTTAAATGTACTTTCATGCGTATTATTTTATCTTCACAGCAAACTTGCTGTGACTTTCCAGACAAGGACACTGAGCCTAGAGAGTACTAAAGTGGCTCGCCCAAAACCACACAGCTGGCGTGAGGGGCGTCCATGACACAGATGGAAAGATTGTCTTCCTGTTCTTGGGCTTTTCATCACTTCTTTCACTCTGTAATGTGTCACCACGACCTCGATGATGTAAAGTTAATGGAATCACAGTTGACTTCTCTTAATCCTCAGCAGTGTTGTTACTTTTCCATTATTTTTTAGTTTCCAGATTTTTATTTTGACAAGGGAATATCAAAGAAGACAAAACAAAGTCTTTTGTCCCACACCTCACATAGAGTTTAGAAGGCCAGCCGACAGACTTGCCAGGAAATGATTATTAGAATAAACCTGGAAGCATAACCGTCACCCAGGGATGTAGTCAATCAGATGATGGTCTGGGCGGGAAGAAGACAGGCAGCTGCTGCAGCCTCTAAAATAAACCGTAGCAAGTCTGCAAAACGCAGTTACGCTGAGCATGAAATCCCTTCCCAATGTCTCTGATGCTCGTGCTGTTCCACTTGCTATGTCTTATTTCCCTCCAATATCAATTTCTTGAGGGCAAAGCTGCCTGTTTTTTGGTTTCCTCCTCTCCTCCAACAATTCTTCCTAAGCCCTGCACTTGCTAATGTTTACAAACTCACCACCATTTATCACCTGCCCTTGATATTCACCTTAAACAGATTTTGTCCATATAAAACTGATAGGAAAGAGAAATTTCTTTGCTCTAAGTTGTATGCGCCCCACATGCCTAGGGATAGCCTTTTCTTAATCCTCAGACCATTCTTATAATGATACTTTCCCAACTATATAACATCCTGATTGCCCACGGGAGAGAGTTAAGTAATGTAAAAGAAGATGAGAGAAGAAAGAACTTGTTTCTAGGATGAATTTTTGACCAAGAAATAGGATGCTTTGGCACTTGCCATGAGGGAAACCTTTGGTAGATGACCTCCTTCCACCAGGGAACTCTCCCCACAGCCACACTTTGTAGCGGACACTCTTCATTATAAAGGCAGAAATTCTGCTAAGAAGTTATTATATATTGTTCGAGATTATTGCCTAATCAGCATTTGAGCCAGAAAAGGAGTACAGGGAAAAGTGTTCTTTGCAGAAGAAGGCATCAGAAGTGGCATTTAAATCAGGGGCCAGAAAGCATGCCCATAGTGCAAATCTTGCCCACTACATATTTTTATAAATAAAGTTTTATTGGAACACAGCCACATCCATTTGTTGACATGTTTTCTCTGGCCACTTTCACACTACAATGGCAGTGATGAGTTGTGGCAAGAGAGACAATATGGCCCGCAAAGTCTAAAATAAAATATTATTACCAATCCCTGATCTAGACAATCCAAATCCTCACTGGGAAATTTTATTTTCACTCATTGAGGTTCTTGATCTGAGTAAATGTCTGTGTTTCTTTCTGTTGATATGTCCAGAGAGGAATAATTTTCTGTGCATGAGGAGAACATACCAGGAGTGGCTGAGACCTGGACAGAGATATAATCCATTGATGTAGTGCTCACCTGCAGGACAGAAAAATAGAAGTATAGTTCAGGAATGATTCCAACTATATGACATTCTGGGAAAGACAAAATGATAGAGACAGTAAAAAAGGTCAGTAGTTGCCAGGGGCTAGGGGGCAGACAGTGATGAACAGGCAGAGCACAGAGGATTTTTAGGACAGAGAAACCATTCTATATGATAATATAATCACGGATATCTGTTTATTTATTTGTCAAAACCCATAGAATATACAACACCAGAGTGAACCCTAATATAAACTACAGAGTTTGGGGAGTTTGGTTAATGTGTCAACATAGGTTCATTGATTTTAACAACTGTGCCACCCTAATCATGCTGCCAATGAATCGAAGAGGAATGCATGTCTAAAGGAAAAACTGAATTATTGTTACCAGAATGGATGCAAGATGCAAAACAATGGAATTCCACTATACCAAGTTAGCAAGGGCTTTTAAAGTCCCTCCTCTTTGCGCTCCGTGTCAGGGTCAGGGGAGAAGATAAGATTCTAAGAACCAGGCAAGTTATTACAAAGATGCCATCATTTATAGTGAAATCCGAACAACTGAGATTCTTCATAAATACTGAGGACTGTTGATGGTGGGCAGCTCTGTGTTAGTGGGGATTTCCACATGAGCAGATCAAAATGAGAGTGAACCTATAGAACTGGTGAGAACCATTAAATGCTTCACATTTAGGCAGGATGTAAGTGGAACATTAGTATACAACAATTTTTTGGGCTGAAACCAAGTCTAGCAATTTACATTAAGAAGATTAATTAGTTAATGTTTATAAAGTACTGTGCAGATGTGACCTTTCAAAATGCTAAGTATTCTAAAAACTACATTGTAGCATTTTACTAAATGTAAAAGATCTAACGTTCATCATTTCTTTGGTACAGGTTGGCAAAGATTCTTTTGGCAATGATTATATAGAAAACTTAAAACAGAATGATATTTCTACAGGTAAAATTTCATCTTGTTTCAAGTTGGTTTTTAGACCTCTCTTCTGTGATCTGATTACAAGAAAAGTTAAAGATAGAGCAGAATTGATAGATCCTCCCCTGGTGGCCAAGGGATTTTTATGCACAGCTTTGTCTAGTCTTGTTTAAACAGCCTCTGCTTAATTCTTTAGCATCCATTCCTCCAGATGGGAATAAAACAATAGGTTACAACCCTTCATCTCATGGAAATGTTTCAAAAGCAGGTGACGAGACAAAGTAGGTGCTACATTCACAAAAGATATTTTAAGAAAAGTCATTGAGTATCATAGCTGGAAAGGATCTTGGAAACCATTGAGGCTGATACTATTTATTTGACAAAAGAGAAAACCGAAGGCCAGCGAGGCTGTGAATTTGTCCAAGAGCACAGCTAGTTGGAGCTGCAGCCAGGCCTAGAATGTCTTTGGCTCCAGTTCAAGGCTCTTTGCTGCTGCCAAAGGCTGCCTGGGCAGCATCGCCTTTGCATGCCAGGCCACAACTCCTGAGGACATGCGGAGCTTAGGCGAATGAAGAAAAACAAACAAGCTGGTTTTATAAGTTTGACCTTTAGTCTTTCATCGCAAGTCTGTCCCTTCCTTCACTGAAGAAATATGGTAGTGCAGGAAAATGCACATGTACACAACTATGATTAATTTGGGGGACTTAGAAGCGGGGGCGGTTTGCCGGGTTGTTACTAATTTAGAGAAAAGGTGCAACTAAGTGTAAAGACTATTTTTCTCATTGTATAGGTGATGGGTATAAATTAGCACTAATAACATATTTCTTTTTTTTATCATCCCAAATGGTTAAAGGTTAAAAAGTTTACTAAGGATTAGTGGTACATTGAAATTGTTAAAATAAATGATCCATGCCAGGCTGTGTATATGTGATTGTAATTTCTTTTTTCTTTTAGAATTTACATATCAGACTAAAGATGCTGCTACAGGAACTGCTTCTATAATTGTCAATGAAGAAGGTATGGGTTTTGCATATTGAAATATTTCATAAAACACTTCATTCCCAGAACTAGAACAGAAGCATCAGTTTTTATCCTAATCTTATAGATTTCTTACCATACCTACCACGCCTAAAGCATGGTCTTTCCAACCTAAATATAAATGTTTCCCTTTATTTATACATCCCAGGTTGATCATTCAAATATAAATTGTCCATCCAATGCATATGAAGCATTATACTTGCCTCAGAATAATATTTATATCCTATAACATCCCATTACCCTTCGTGTGAACTCAGAATTGATATTTGTCTTTAATAACAGTTAAGTATTCATCTGTCATTTCAGTTATACCAGGTAAATAAATGTAAATAGATAGGTGCAAAAGAAAGTTGATGAATCATATTTATAGACTATTTACTGAGCAAATGGCAGCAACTTATTACTTCTAAATTATCGTTAGTGTTCAATTTTGTCTGCTCTTTAAACAGCAATCAAGTCTCAAAAGTCTATATATACAACTATGTCACTAGGCCTTGCCATAGGGAAACATTTGCCTTTGAAAAGAGTAACTTCCCTTCGCTCTCAAGTAAAGTATTCATAATTTCTGCCAACTGTTTTTAGTATAAAAACACTTCCATAAGATTTTTTAAATCAGAATTAATATTCGGAAGGGCCAAGCATTTCATGGGGCACCTAGGACAGACCCTGGTGCATTGTGGGCAGTCAGCATGCATTGTGTTAGATTAGGATTTGTCACAGCATGTCTTTAATTTATAATGCAGTTTCACAAGATCATTTCTCACAGAAGACATGATATGTTTACCTTTAGTGATCCCAAAGCTGCAATAACGAATAAACAGTGTTCCACTTAAAGACAGTCAGTAGAAGCTTTCACTCTAACAGTGGTCTGTGCTCATTACTTTAAGCTACTTCGTAAGCGATTATTGCTGCCAACAGCAGCTCATTCCCTGCCTCAAACCTCTTTTTGTATTTTGGGGTTATCTCCAAGTTCCGTTTCTTCATTCTCTGTGTACAAAATACTGCATTTTCATGCAAGATATAATTTAATATTGTGTACCGAGTGCCTATTACGGTAGAATTTGTCTGGTTTATGGTGTATGGTAATGTCCTCAAGATGGTAGTGGAAGAGCTCGCACGAACACCCAGGGGCTCCTTTCAGTGAGTGCGTAGCGAGGCCGGGCAGGGAGTTCAGGGCTGGCAAGGCCAGGTGGAGGCCCGAGTGAGGCCCCGGGCCGTGCCCGCCTCCCGGCTGGGCCTTGCCCGCTGCGCAGCAGCCACGGGCAG